AAGAAAAAAATTACTATTGGAAAACGAAGTTGGGGAAAGAAAGATAACACTTTAATTTTAGTACAGGCTTAATCTGCCGCTTGCTCTCTTCTGTCTTCAATTTTAATTTTGCTCTAAGTCTTTTTGGGTATTCTCTTTTCCAATAGTAATTTTTTTCTTACCATTTCGACGCACTCTTTCTCCTGCTCTGCTTCCGTTGCAGGGGGCTGTCCCAACCTTGTGCAGCCTCAATGGCTGCTTCTCTTGTAGCTGGAAAAAAGAGCGTCTCGGGATCAATCAGGGGCTTTGCGATGCCCCTGAGATCAGCAGGACGTGCCCTTCTCTATCACCACCTCTATGGGACGGTTTAGGTCCCATAGAGATGGTGCTTCCGTTGCAGGGGGCTGTCCCAACCTTGTGCAGCCTCAATGGCTGCTTCTCTTGTAGCTGGAAAAAAGAGCTTCTCGGGATCAATCAGGGGCTTTGCGATGCCCCTGAGATCAGCAGGACGTGCCCTTCTCTATCACCATCTCTATGGGACGGTTTAGGTCCAAAAAGGACCATCCAGCAGCGGAGATATCAACAGCTATCCTGGAGCCCCAAGATTGCATGTCATGTTATAGCGACATCAGCCCCGCCTCCCTCTTAATTTCTTTTTGGAATGTTGTCAAACATGATGGCTTATACACCACAACTGCATTCCACACAAGGAAGTATGCAGCAAATATAACAGTAGATAATACTGAGTCTTTGGTATATTTTGCTTTTTGTAGTTTCTACAGCATTTTGATTTCTTCATGACATTTATTTCTCTTCCAAAAAAGAATGCATTGAAGGTGGAAGAAGGAAGAAAAAAGTGAAGATTGTTCTTTCATGAAATGATAATTCTTGTGGCCTTTGGTTTTCTGTTTTGTAGAAAACAAAATGGCCTCTGAAAACAAGACCTGTTTCTTCAGAGAATGGCTCAGATTCCAGAAATACTTTTTCTTCCAGGGCTTAACCTTTTAATACTGCTTCACATTCAATACTATATAGATTTTATGGTATTAGCAAAGGACTTTCTTCAGTATGAAGCCCTATATCTACCTATGCATGGCATATGATATATAAAACACTACTATTCCTCCTAAATTCTTTCTCTTAGCTTTCTTCCTCCAGCTTCAGAGATAAACTTTTGCAACATTTAATGTATCCTGATTTTCTATAAAGCAGTTTTAACTTATAAGATTGTATCTATTTTTCTGAGACTCCACACTGGAGAACCACACAGGTAAATGCTAAGCTGCCCACTAATGAGGTAACAGCAGGATATTTATTACTTGATCTACAAGAAAGAAATACAAAAGACTATTGCAAACATTTGTCAGAAGCTTCAAGAAACCTCAAAGGAAAAATTGCTCTTCCAGCTTTCCACAGCCATAAAATTTTAAATCCAATACAAGTATTTCGGGATAAAGTTAACGGTAATAACCATCTTCACACTTTAATCTCACACCTAACTGGTTTCTGCGTTCTGTTGAAACTTGAGAACAAAGAGAAAGAACATAATCAATATTAGATTAAAAAAGAAAAAAAACAATTTTTAAAAAAGTATAACAGCTTCAATAAATATCTGACAGATTATGGGAAAAATAGTTTTTATGCCATGAACTGAAAAGGAATTGGTAAGTACTGAAATTCTGGCACAATGGGTTGCATTCTCTTTTCTTGCAAGAAAAAAGATCAGCAGCTGAAACAAATGCAGTTTGTAAGTATCCCAACCATAACAGATGGCACATTACTTCTGAATTACATTTATTTTGCTTACTACTTACAACAGAGCTAATATATCCATATGTCACTTTAAGAGCTCTCATTTCTATTTAAGCTGTACACATTTATCTTGCCTTTGATTTATCGGTCAGAAGTTTGTAATGTGATATCAAGTTAACAACAAAAACAACAACAAAAATTCTGGATGACATGAGATATTGTTTGCCCGTTAAAATAATAGAATCATTACCTTAAGCCACTGTAAATGATAAACAGTGCAATCTAAGTTTCAAACAACTTCTAAATGGCTCAATTAATTATGATGAACAAAAAAATAGGTAAAATGGCCTTCTTGTACCCTTCAAGTCACCTTAGAAAAACACATAAATAAAAACTAGATGCAAAGCAGCAGATCAGTATGAAAATTTAGAATAGACAAGTTACCAGTGGAAGCATATTTCTCAGCTAATTTAATGGCATTAATAATACTCAGTATCTTAACCAGATTTTTTTTAAAAAAGCTTGCTCATGTTGTGATCAAATCAGATTACAACATACAGGCATTTTTAAAACATGCTTTTGCTACATGGGAGAAAAGAGGAACAGGAAATGTTTCACTCCTGTTGCCATTCTGTCTGTTGTTCTCTTGGTTGTTGTCATTGTTCAGTCATTCAGTTGCTTTGACTCTTCATGTTATCTTGCCAGTGCTGCCTATCAACAGTCTCTTTTCTGAATGTTTGATAGCTCACATTTGTATCATGAGGACCCAGATTCTTGGGGGCAATATGCAGAATCTGTAAACCACTTAGAGAGGGCTGTAAAGCACTGTGAAGCGGTATATAAGCCTAAGTGCTATTGCCATTAATCTAGTTTCCTTATTTTCCATTGCCTTTTTTTTGGTAGCCTTTGAATTTCCCAAGCATCAGTCTCTCCAATGACTCGTTCCTTCTCATCGAAAGTCCAAAATAAACTTCAGTTTCATTATTAGTGCTTCCAGTGAGAAGTCTGAGTTTACTTCATCTATTTTTTCTCAAGAAATTCTCAACCAATTTTCTCCAGCCATCCAACTCAAAGGCTCATAATATTTCTTCATCATTTTTGATGGTTCCGCTTTCATAGTCCTATGTTATGAGTGGGAAAACCATAGTCTTGTTTGTTCTCAGTGTGAAATTTCTTCTCTTTTATTATTTTGTCTAGATCTATCAAAGTCTTTCACCCAAGCAGAGAGTTTCTCTTTATTTCCTGGCTATAGACAACATTCTTGTGCATTTTTGAGCTTAGAAGATAATGTCTGTTACTACTTCAACTTATTTTCTGCATATCTACATTGGGTTGGCATAGTCTATAGGTGAACATATAGTGTTCAACATAGTTTTATTTATACATGTAATGTTTAATTGAATAACTTATCTACTTTGTATTGAATGTAT